CTAGAACGCCTCCCATTTGCTTTCCTGCCACTTTTGTTTACCTTAGGGCTGAATAAGTCCTCTGCTTTATTAGGCCACAGAGAGGTGAGCGATGTCTCATTCTGACATTGCCATTTCCTCAACTTGTTGCTGGATGAAGGCTGGCATCGGTTTGCTGCCAATTTGTTCAGTGATGCTACCTAAGTAGGGCTAAAGCATCAGCAAAACACCATTAAAGGTCATGAGTATTTTTCCCTTGCAAGGCAATGACTCTCTATACTCTCAAGAGCCCCAGAAAGCTTGCTTAATCCTGTGTAAATGTGTGTTTAGTAAGAAGTGTGCGTCTAATTTGTTGTTAACTGGTCAGCTAATGCAAGAAAAAAGCTGAAATATGTTTCTGTCCTGAACAATGAGTAAGATTCTACCCGCTGCTAAGGCTATTTAGATAAATCTATTAAAAACAAGCAAAAGTCTTGTGTTTTCAGTTGATCTGAACAAAGATCAGATGCTGGTCTTAATCTTTAATGCCTTTGATAGGCTGTCTGAGACAACCTCTACCCCTGTGCTCTGGCAGGGAAGGTACAGTCAACAGTGAAACCCTGTCTGACAATCCCTAGGATGAAACTGCCTTTACTCTGGCAAGGTTCCCATGGAAACAAATTAAACTGAGCCCTGATCCACACTACACAGTTAAGTCAACATTGACCTAACTCTGTAAGTGTCTACACTAAAACGTAGCTCCCACCGATGTAACTCATGCACTACACCAACTTCATAAATCCACCTCCACAAGAGGCGTAGCGTTTGGGTCGATGTAGTTAGGTCGACACAGTAAAAGTGTAGACACTGTGTTGCTTACATTGACTGTTGCTGCCTTTCAGAAGGCATCCTGCAATGCCCCACGCTGGCAGTTAAATCAGTGCAAGCGCTCCTGGTCAGGACGCACATCGCCGACACAAGGAGAGCAGTGTGGATGTGTGCAAAAGTGATTTAATTACTGTGGTGGCTGTATGTTGATGTAACTTAGGTTGACTTAATTTTGTATTGTACACTTGAGTCAATGAATCAATGAAACTGAAGTCAATGTGAGTCTTGCCTAAGAGGGGCTTGGAGGATTTGGCCTTCTGTTAATAATGTACAACCCAAATAATCAAAGGTCCTTGGGTAATCTTGACAGCAGACTTCCAAGCCTGCTGGGTCTGCTCCTTCAGTTATGCAGAGTTTACAGGCTTCAGCAAGGCCTATAGGCTTCATAGCTACAAATCCTACTTCATGTAAGAGTTCCACCTGACTGAGCTGTGAGAGTCTCAGTTCCTAAATTCTACAAAGCTAGAATTCTGGTCCTGCAGAGCACCCAAACTCCACTGATGCCCCTTGTGCAGTTAATTCTTCTGGCTCTTCAAAACTCAACGGGACCAAAGCTCTAGTGGAATCTGAGGGAATATATCAACCCTTCAGCTTTGCTGCATGGAGATTAGGTAATCAAGGTTTGACTGATTCCATATTTATTCTCTCACACGGTCTTCTAGATCCAGCAGGTTCAGTTTGAGTCAAACATTGTTTCTTTGTTTATTTTCCCCCTAATCACCAGCATTGCAAACTCCCTCTGGGATCTGATAATCCGGCTGGACTCTTTCTACCTCTTCCCATACATCACCAATAAGAAATCTCCTGCTGGAAATGAAATGGCAATTGTTTTGACAATGCTCATTGCAAAATAGACTCTTGCTTGCTTCCCCATAATGCAGGGTTCAAACTAGTTGGTCAGTAAAGGAGCAGTCAGGCCTTGAACCATAAAGGGTGAAGATATCTGTGCATAGGGTCAGCATAAGGCCTATGTTTTGAGAGCTTGAGTGGGACTTCATTGGTGCACAGGGGGAGCAGGAATATAAAGTACCATTTTACACCATCACTTGTATTTCATTGTACAAAAGTCAGTAAAATCAGAGTAATGTTTCCCATGGCAACCTTAGGTTCTCTCCCTTGTATGTTTACCTCCCACATTGCAACCTGAATGTTCCATTCCCATAGTTTTCTGCTTGTAATCAAGCATTCTTCTTGCCTGTTTTCATAGCTTTGTTATCACATAATACAAAAGGATCTTCCTCAATTTTTGTTTATCATCATCTCATAGAATCATAGAAATGTAGGGCTGGAAGGGACCTTGAAAAGTCAAGACCAACCCCATGAACTGAGGCAGGACCAAGTAAAACCTAGACCATTCCTGACAGGTGTTTGTCCAATCTGTTCTTTAAAAACCTCCAGTGACAGGGATTCCACAGCCTCCCTTGGAAGCTTATTCCAGAGTTTAACTACCTCTTATATCTAGCTAGATGCAAGTAATTTGTGTTTGTAAATTGATTCCTAGGTGTTTCCTGTAGCTTTGAGCCCACGAACTACAATTCCCAGGAGTCCAGTTGCACCTTAAAGACTAACAGATTTATTTAGGCAAAAGCTTTCGTGGGTAAAAAAACCACTTCTTCAGATGCATGGAGTGAAAATTACAGATGCAGGCATAAATATACTGACACATGAAGAGAAGGGAGTTACCTTACAAGTGGAGAACCAATGTTGACAAGACCAATTCAGTCAGGGTGGATGTGGTCCACTCTTAATAATTAATGAGGAGGTGTCAATACAAAGAGAGGGAAAATTGCTTTTGTAGTGAACCACCAGACTTCTCATTGTTTTTGTGGATACAGACTAACACGGCTACCCCTCTGATACAATTCCCAGGATGCACTGGAGGGAGGAGAAGTGAAGGAAGAATGTAAACTCTGTGAAAGAGTGAGGGGAATAAACCTTACCTTTGCTGTTATCAAGCTTCCCAAGTCTTCCTCAAACGGGTTCAGGTGCAAAATTACCCTTATAGTTAGAGCAGATTTTAGGAAAAACTTTCTACCTCTCCCTTACTGCAGATGAGGCCCATTACTTCTTGTCCTACCTTCAGTGGACATGGAAAACAATTGATCCCTGTCTTCTTTATAACAGCCCTTAGCGTATTTGAAGATTGTTATCAGGTTAGACAAATACCTGTCAGGGATGGTCTAGACAATATTGAGTCTTGTCTCAGTGCAGTTAGATTGGATGACCTACTGAGGTCACTTCCAGTCCTATATTTCTATAATTCTATACAGATCTATTTGGGAAAGCCATTATATTAACATTGGTGTGGAAGAAATGGACTTTTCATATGAAATTAGAAGAGACCAGTTGGTGCATTAATTGTAACCATTACACATGTGCAAATATATTTCAAATTGTTCTGCTTTACTAGTAAACTGGAACTCTTCCATATTTCTATAAGTTTTCTTTTTAACTAGAAAATCCCTTCACTGCTTCTTTGCTGTTGTTTTTTACTTTTTTACAGTACCATCCTCATCACCTTTGTTCTTGTTTTGTCTCCATGCACAGAACATATTTGTCAAATACAAAATGGCTGCCTATGTCTTGAACAGCAGAGTCCTCAAAGATTTAAAAGTGCAGTAAACAAAACACATAGTGTTGTCGCTACATACACTGCAGTTTGTCTAGCATGAATTCAGAATGATGAGCTCAAACCAAACTCCCAATTCCAAATAGCCCTGAATGTTGGGGAAAACTTACAGCTCAGGCCAATCCCTAGAATTTAGCTGTAATATAAAGAAGTGTTATTTTTATTACTGAATATTGCTATCCTTAATACGTGATCGTTCAAACACTAGCTGTGAGGCATTTTCCCTGCCCCTGCCAACTGAGTCTTGCTTAAAAATAAGGAAATGGATTTCTTGAAGGGGAGGAAGCAGTTGGCCCACTGACACTCAATAGATTACACTGGAACTAAATCTGCTATCCTGGAAGACGGGGCAGCCTGCAAAAATTAGGTCAAGGAACCTCCCAGTTGCTGCTGACCTGATCAGACCCAGAAAACCAATGATAAATAAACCACAAGGCCAGTTTTAGCCTAAAGGAAAATATTTTTCAATGGTGGTGCCTGGGATATAGGCTGGAAAATGCAAAATATGTTAGGCTCATTCTAAAAGAAAAAGTGTACATTTTAAAATGGCTTTACTAATGGTGGGGCTGACCAAAAAGCCTGATTCATATCATAGCCCTCCCTCCCCCGCCAAAAAAAAAAAAAAAGAATTGTGGGGATGTATATATCTGGCCTTTGCACTACAATCTGATCTCTAGTCCTATGGATGTGTGAAACATCCCCACACCAGTGCAATAACCACCACTGCTCTCCCAAATCCGGTAGGGTCAGTGCACAGGGTGATGCAGCTGCTGCTGACAATTCATCATAGCAGAGGGTAAAATATATTTTTTCTTTAAAAAAAATAACGTGCTAAATAAGGTGGATTTTTAAAATTTAATGTTAAGGAATTTTTCTTCTGGCTTTGAAGAAGCACAGCTTCCCTATCCCAGCCTCTGCCAGATTTCACAGAACTTTCTGTAAATGCATCCATTAAGTGTTTATTCAGGCTATAGTCAGCTCTTTATATCCTCTTCCTGTAGCAACAGCAAAATATCCTTTACTGGAGGTCCAATCTGAAGTCCTTTGCAGTCAATAGAAAGTCTCCCATTAATTCCAGTGGACTTTGGCTCAGACCCTGAGAGCTGATATATTGACAGTACACCAACAAACATTACTTGAGTCTGGTGAAACGCAGCTGAAGGTTCTATCTCATTTGTATGCCTTAATTTGCTTTCCTTTCAAAAGCAGGAAAGGACACCATGCATGCTTAAAATCAAACAAGCTATTAATAACAATAACATTGCATCAATGTGGCTGTGTTAAGGGGACAGGATTTTTATTACACAAATGTCAGCAAAGTCAGAATTATGATTCCCCTAGGAACTTGTGAAAGTCACCATTTTGACTTTGAGGAGTATTAAACCACTCATCAGTTAGGACAAGCCATCTATGGCTAGCTTGTCTGCTTTCATGCATTTCTCCATAGGAGGGGAATATACACCCTATAAATGGGCTGGCTAATTGGTTTTTTAAGGCAACCACTCCTGACATTTTTATTATTCAGATCCCTCAGAAATAGTCACCACATCATTCCTCAGAGGCCCTTCAGCAAGGACAACACTGAAACCAGAAGTTTTTGATGACCACTAAGGCATAATCAGAGAACAAGACATTATGGGTAATTATATGTCTAATACAATGATGGCTGAAAAGCTGACTTCCTGGCAAAATTTAGCTAAACACTTTTAAAAAAAAAAGCAGTTCACTTGCCATTTTCTTTCATGAAAGCACAAGTTTGTTTGGGTTTTTTTTAGAGCTTGTATAATTTGTGGGTTTGAGTGAATTTTTTAAAAAAATCTGAACACAGTGGTATGTTGCTAAGCTGTACTCTTATAGACTGCCCAGTGTAATGGTGGCCTCTGCTAACATCTCAGCAAAGATTTAATGGCAGATGCCGTGATCCCTAGACAGGAAAGCACTTAAGCACATGCATAAGTATGTGCTCCAAGTTAAGCACAAGCTTTCAGTGCTTTCCTGAATAGGGATGTACTTAAGGATGTGTGTAAGTTCTTTGGTGAATCAGGGCCAGAGTTCTGTAGTGAGGCCTCATGTTTCACTTTTATGAGCTCCAGAACATTTACTAACCTTTTTAGAAGTATTATATCTAAAGGATTTATATGGCCCCCATCACTGAAGTGTCTGAGCACCTCACAGTCTTTAATGCATTTACCCTCAAAACTGCCCTAAGAGGGAGGTAAATGTTATTACCCCCATTTCATAGATGGGGAACTGAGGCACAAAGAAAGTAAGCTACTTGGTCAAGGTCACAGAGGAAGTCTGTGGCAGAGCAGGGAATTGATCCCAGGTCCTAGGCTTGTGCCTCAACCACTGGACCAGGGGTAGGCAACCTATGGCACATGAGCTGATTTTCAGTGGCACTCACACTGCCCGGGTCCTGGCCACTGGTTGGGGGGCTCTGCATTTTAATTTAATTTTAAATGAAGCTTCTTAAACATTTTAAAAACCTTATTTACTTTACATACAACAATAGTTTAGTTATATATTATAGACTTATAGAAAGAGACCTTCTAAAAACGTTAAAATGTATTACTGGCACGTGAAACCTTAAATTAGAGTGAATAAATGAAGACTCGGCAAACCACTTCTGAAAGGTTGCCGACCCCTGCACTGGACCATATTTCTGCTAATAAAGTAACTGCAACGGTCAAAGGACCAAAGTTCATTTTGTGATGAGTGAACCTTACTTTTATTCTTCTGTGTTGGTTCATATATTGAATACTTTGAAAGATTTGGTCATTTACACTGAGTCTCCCAGTCAGTGTGAATTAGTGAAATTTTACTGTAGTACATTTTTTTGTCAGGGAGCTTTTATTATAAACAGACAAGAAGTTAAGTAACTTACATGGCACACTGTATTTCCATAGTCAGCTTCTGCCTCAAGGTTAAAGCCTTGCAGCAAATGAATGATGCTCTAAGGACCCAGTTTTACGTTCCTTACTGAGGTAAAACTCCTCCCAAAGTCAGCAGCTTTAATAGAATCTGTCAGATTCAGAATGGAAGCATGTGTATTGAAGTAATCTGCACTGAGATTCTATCCCACAGCAAAATCAAGCATTTTGGTTTTAATCAGTTTGTCAAACAGTTTCTCAGGGGATTCTTGGTCCTCATAAAGTACAATAGCTTAGGGAGAAAGATATGGTGTGCAGAGTATTGGAATGATGCCTCTGATCCTTTGGGCTCCACAATGTTTTTAACTGATGTGAACAAAAATGTTTCTCATCTGTTAACTCCGAGACAGCCAAATGATTACATTCAAACTTTCCAAAGAAAAGATTTGCGTCTGAGAGGAGGCCAAGCATCAGAAGCTGCTGCCCAGAAGGGATTTCATTTTTGATGGGAAGAGAGAAAGTTATAGACTATTGCCGCGAATGGAAATTCCATCTCAACTTTATCTGCAGCATCATGCTTTTGCAGTGCTGTCATGACCTCCACTCCTGTTAAAGAAGCAATATAGGAGCAGCAAGGGGCAAACCTCTGTAACTCAACGAACTATTTAAACAAAAACATGTTGAACCCTACGTCGAGAAAAACATAATCTAGTAAGAACACCTACTAAGCAGATGGCGTTGAGGAAGGTCGTGGTAAGCAAGAGTTCTCAAACCCAGAGCCTGTTCAATCCAAAGAATATGTACATTGTTATTTGCTAGGTTTATACTTCTTTTATTAGGTCTGAAAAACAGTGTGACAGAACAAGATGTTCTGCCAGTGGTGAATGCTGGTTAGCATCTATCAAATGACTATGAATATGTTGATTATCAACAGGTTTCTTTGGCTTTCAACTCTTGGCCAAGTGCGATGTAGTTTTCTGTATTTCTGTAGTTAACAAGATTTCAACTTTTTTTTTAAAAGTGTCATTTTTGGAGGCTAAGCTTGGAATTCCATGGAGTTTTCATCATTTAAAAGGACTTTTATATAGCTGCAGTTTCTGCGGAGTCCTGTCAGAATGGGGGGAGGGATAGCTCAGTGGTTTGAGCATTGGCCTGCTTAAACCCAGGGTTGTGAGCTCAATCCTTGAGGGGGCCATTTAGTGATCTGGGGCAAAAAAATAAATAAAAATTGGGGTTGGTCCTGCTTTGAGCAGGGGGTTGGACAAGATGACCTCCTGAGGTCCCTTCCAACCCTGAGATTCTATGAAGTACCTTCAGAACAACTTAGCACTGGAGTGAGAGGAGACGTTGCTTCTGATTAAAGTTGTGGAGAGACACAAATGGCAAAACATGGATGTCCCACTCTTGATCTTATTTTGAGACACACACACACACACACACACACACCCCAGACAGTCTTCCCCAGAATAACACTAGCAGATCATTTAAAGTGCACAGGATGGCCTCCCTCTCCTGTATACTTTAGTATGTTTCATGGGAGAAGGAATTTCTTGGGGGATGGACATGAGATGATCATCCAAGCTGCTAATATGTTGCACTTCTATGGCACCTTTAATGTTTGTATGGCTTGTATTCCATCTCTGAGAGTAGGAGAGCCTCTGGGAGAAAGTAGGATTTGTTGGGAAAGGGTTTGGATGATGCTGTCCAGATTGCAGACATCTTCATTCTTCTGATGCTGTCTTCAGGGGCCTTCATCTAAATTCAGCTTCATGATCTTATACTCTGGCTGATGGTGTAAGGAGCAGAAAGAGCCCAGAGAGACTTTTCAAATCCCAGCTGGAGTTTCCAGAACTATGTGTTAGAAAAATTAACTTTGGTGTTGTGGACCTAACAACTCTAGTGTGGATCACAGACAGAGAATAAATTTGGACCCTCCCAATGTCATTTGTACAAGTTTCTTTTCTATCTGTAACTGCAAAGAAACACTATTCTCTCAGACTGAATTGCTGCCCTGAGAATGCTACTGGGGTCGGACAAGTATTACTTCAGTGTGCATTCAGACATTATTAAAACAAATTACTCTATCGCAGCACAACTAAAGCCCATTCATTCATTCATAATGGTGGAGGACTGGGCAATGTCCCTGAGGGATGCTGGAAAGAATTGGTCTGTTGTAAGCTCCCACACTAAGTTATTTAAAGTTGATTTATTTTGCTAATATCACATAAACACTCCCAGGAGAAGATAAAAACAAACAGATCAATGCTGATTTCGCCTTCAGGCTATTTCCTGAGACAAGGCAGTAAGCACTGGGTATAGAACTTGCTGCTATAGAAAGATATGGCTGTGTCTGTGGGGCAGTCAGTTCCCTTGTGCCTCACAGAATTTGTGCGCTGAACATCTTAAACTACGGTGTGTTTGTGCTGCATGATTTGGCCCAGGTTTTCCAGACTGACTGACCTGCACGTGGCACAAGTGCAGAGGGGCGTGAGGGCAAATGTGGCTTCAAGCCACCTTTGTGGCTCCCCAGGGCTAGTGCGGGCCTGGTGCTAGCCCATTCCCTGCCTTAAGACAGAGTCGTCTGAAAACCGCTGTCTTTTCCATTGGCTGCCAAAGTACCCTATGCCTCCAGCAACTGAGCGTCATCACTGTATAGAGATAACCAAACCATGCTCTACGCCTGGGAGAAGACGGGCTCAAGCCCACAACATAAGGATCTGAACTAGGTTTTGATTAGGTCTATTATAGAGGTTGGTGCCAGCTACAAAATTTGGATCCACATTCAGATTCTGAAAACATTGCCAGCTCCCCAAAGGGGTTTCTGTTCTAGGGTTTTATCTTCTGTCCCAGAATCTATTTTATGGTGCATGGGCTGTACCAACATCCGCATATTATAAGATTCTGCAGACTCTAAACTTCATTCCAGCGGCATTAGCGGACAATGGAGTTTACTTTTGAGAGGAGAGGTGATGCATGTGGCCATTAAGTGTAGAACTCTAGCTGTACAGTACTAGCCTGAGGCACGTGCAGAGAATTAGCAGCTAAGTGAAAGGTCCAGAGGAGCTTTTAGAATGGCTCAGACTGGCTGGCGAGCACCGCACTCTCAGCATTCCCACTGCTGCTCCAAAAGGGAGAGGCCTGGTGTGAATGCCTTCAAACTAATCATGCTTCCAAGCTGGCTGCCTGTGCCCCACTGGACATATTAATTGAACAACCAATCTAGTACTGCAGTGACTGCTACACTTATATTAATATTAGCAGTATTTGTACTATCCTAGTGCCTAGAAGCCCCAGTCATGAAGCCGGATCCCATTGTGCTAGATACTGCTCTGCTCTTGCACTGAGAGTCGTAGAGGCTTTGGGCACACTCTTCTGTCCCCCATCCCAGTGAATCAGTTCATGGGCAGCTCTAGCTTTTGCTCTAAACGATTAGTTCTATGCCTGCCAGAAACTCAGCTACTGATCCTAATAGTGTCCTGGTGAAGTAGATCCTTGAGATTTTGCTGCTTGCCTCTGACCTACTCAACAAGTACATTCAGAGAGGCTCACACAGGAACAGCAGCTGTCTGACTGGAGACATAGGGGGCAGACTGCTCAAAGCAGCTCAAAACTAAATGATTCCCTAATAAAAAAAACACAATCCCGGGGACTTTTTTTTTTTTTTTTTTTTAATGTTACTGGCCCCTTGACACTTTGTGAACAAAGGAGACTTCCTCAGCCC